AGTTATTAACTTCAATTGTCCTATCATTTTATTGTAATAAAAAATTGTTCTTTTTTTCAGAATGATTTGACATGTTAGTTATAGTATTTTGATAGTTCACTTCAAATAAAAAAAATCCCGACATGCTTTGAACATTTTTTTACCTCTTGAACTCTAGGGTCTATCAAAAATAATTGTTCTAACTTTCTCAATAGAGAAAATTTGCATACACTCTATCCTCCTATACTGATACTATAGTGTGTGTATATATGTTACTATTGTTGGGATCTTCATTATTTTTTTTATTGTGTGTGAACTTGAAAAAAAATAACAGGCTAAAACAATCTAAATATACAATTGAAATGATATGATATTATCTACCACGAAACAAAGACAACGTGTAAGTAGCTCAATTTCATATTTTTCAATATTTCAATTTCTTATAATAATATTGGATAAAGTACACAAACCTAATTAAATTCATTTTTTTTGGTGGTTCAAATTAACAATTCCATTTTTATGATTAACATGATCGATAACTGTACATAGGCCGAAAGACCCCTACAATTTTAAGATATAATAATAATAATAATAATAATAAATACTAAAAAAATGAATAAAAGATACTCATTGTGTATAGGATACCTGTGAGGCTGCTTTCCAGTCACTTTAACTATTCAAAATGAAAGAAGATTGTGATATCTTCATACACTTTTAAGAGAAAAAGTTTCAGTTACAACGGTAGAAGATGGACATGATAAATGGAGAAGGATTGGATAAAGTAAAAGTTTAATATAGCAACAGTTATGTGCGGTTTTTAGATTTTTAAATTTGAAATAGCAGTTTTTTAATATATAGATAATAATATAATATTATCCAATTTAAAATTTTGTATAGCAATTAAATATAGGTTTGCAGTTACATTATCCAGTTCTTTTAGAACAATTTTAAAAATTATTTTTGTGTAATTATAAAAACTGCTTTTAAATTTTATATATATGTAATTTTCTATAAAAAATATAATTAAAATGATGAAACGTGATGCTTTAGTTAGTTTCTCTGATTGTTTTTTAAAACTGCCACTCAATCTTCATCCGTCCTTTTTATTTAATTTCTATCTTTCCTTTTTGATGTAAAACATTTTTTATTCTTTTTATTTAATTTCAATCTATTTTTTAATGTAAAATTTATTTTTAATTTTCGTGATGCTGACACATAGAGCTGTCAATATGGGTTGGCCCACCCCATCCGGGCTAACCCATACAGGCTTTGAAATTTGACGGGTCAGGCTGGGCTAGCCCATTTTTGGTGTGGGCCAGAAAATGGTCGGCCCAGCCCACAAGTACGTGGGCTACGGGCTTGCCGTGCAGCCCTCTTTTCGTAAAAATATATTTTTTATAATATTTTAAATTAAATTATAATTTAAAAATATTATCATAAATATCGACAAGATAATATTACATGGTGTTAGTGTTATTACTTGTTAATCAAATCCACAAATAAAATTATCTTTATAATATTTATTAAGTTTGATTTCAAGTAAAAGTATAAATAGCTAAATAAAAATATAAACCTAATTGTTTTTCAATGATCATAATAAAACACAAAAACTATGACAATATTCCATATGCTACGGCCTATGTAGTGATTCCTAAAAAATTTAGGGAATTTTTATTTTACGTAATACATATTTTATAAACATAATTTGTATTTAAATTGTAATATTTCAACCTTTAAACTGATTTTGAGTTTAGACTCTTGTTATTTTTAATACTCTATTTTCTTTTTTTAATTAATTTTTATTTGGCCCACGGGCCGGCCCTATCCATATTTCTCAAGCTCCACAAATCGGCAGGCTTATTCAGGCCGGGCTAAAAAAGTTTTTTTCTTAAATGGGCTCCAAAAATCGTAGCATAGCCCTATCAAATCCCGGGCTAGGCCAGGTCGGTCCAACGGGCCTAACCCATATTGACGGCTCTACTGATACATGACACTTTTTACTTCTCCTATAATATATAGATAATAGATAATTACATAGTGGACTAAACTTTTATCCGGATAACTTTTTATTTTGAAATAAAGATATATAAAAGTTGATATAAATTACTGGCGCAACAAGTAATAAGGAAAGAAAAGTAAAATAATAATTAAAAAGGAACTATATGATTACAAGCTAATTACTTACGAAGAGATTGTCATTCGAGAAAAAATCTTAAGAAGTTTAAGGAAACACATAATTGGAATAATTGACTTTGTGATCTTTTATAGATTTCGTTATATTTATATTATTTTTTTTTTGTAAGAGACATATGAAATCCGAAGAAAATATGTGACTTCATTTTGTGATTTTTTAATCTTAAAAAAAACATGTTTTTTTTTTTACATAAAATAATAAAGTGAAACAAATTAAATATTGAAAAACAAAATAATTGGAAAGGGATGATACCCACTAGGCGTCCACAACATTAGGAATTAGGATCGCTTGATTGATGAAATATGGTAGATTAGGATATCTCATGAGATTAATTATTTCACAATTTTAGCACGAATGGTAAGATAAAATAATTTTTGAAATTAACTAATACTCATAACCAAATGTAGGATAATATTTTATCGTAATATTATAATCCTTAATCCCACTAACCAAAAGAATCAAAAAAATAATAATTAAAAAATAAGAATCCTTTTTTTTAATTCATCGTTGAAACTTCCCTTAGCACAAAATCATAGTTTTGAGAATATTTTTTTTGTTATTCATTCGGTGTTCAGAGATCATATTGGAGCCTCGACTAAATTCGAATTGCGCATTGCATGGCTTTAGGGGGCATTCCCAACAAGATTTTTTCTATATCCAGGGCTCAAATCTGTAACCTTTGATTAATGATAAAATAGTTTCACCACTAAATCACAACCCGTGTTGGTTAGTTTTGAGTAATTGCTTCTTCCTCCTCATCTTCATCTTGATCAAAACCAAATAATATATTTTTGGTTGGAGCTAGATAACTCAATATTGCTCATATATCTTACTTGTGTCATACTACCCTTAAATTGCAATTGATTTTACATTATAATAGGAAGGTAACAATTCTCTTTGTAATTTCATGTTCCACAATATCTCCTCATTAATAACACTCCTAATATAAAATTATCATTAAAGCTGAGTAAGTCTTCAATGATTCACTACTCTTGGAAATTTATTCAAACACCACCACCCAAGAAAAAAAGGTGCAAAGAAAAGTGGGACAGGGCAATGTGAAAAGAGAGATTAGTTCACAAAATATGTATATCAATAATGTATATACTACAAGGCATATCATGTATATCTAATACTTTTTAATGTATCACATAAGTATTGGATCATTATATGAAATGGTCATAAAAAATAGGAGAATTTTCTCAAATAGCCACTATAATAAATTTAATTATACTCCATAACTATAGTTTGCATATTTTAGGGATGTACCTACAGTTTAAGCTGCCTTGTTTGTATAATTCACAGGTCAGTATAATTCGCGTGTACGTTTGTATAATTGAGCTATTTTTGTATAAACTCGAAATAATGATTTATACAAACACAAACATTTGAACTTTAAACATTTATACAAAATTATACAAATTCCGAATTATAAACGTGTGAATTATACAAACTCGAAATGTCAATCCACGTAATCATCACTGAATGTTGGTCGTGAGTGGTAATAACTAAAACTATAGTTATGGTGACTAATTAACTAGTATATATTTGCTTAACCATGTAATTTTCCTTATAATATATCAACTTATTAGTATAACACATTATTAGAGTCCAAAAAAATCCTATATAGATGAGTATTATTGACTACACAATGTCAAAAGTTTAAAATAAGTTTTGTATTTGGGCTATCTGATGCCAAACACTAATAAACGTGAGGTGGGAATATATCCCAACTTTTATTCTCATCTCCATTTACCAAGGTTAAGTTCAAGAGCAACTTTCACATATAGCAAACATAAAAATTATATTTGTATGTTATAGCTATAGTTTGCATAATTGCGTTCCATAGCAAATTTTATGTTTGCTATAGAGCTTTTGATTTGTATAATTCGCTACAAACATCTAATTTTATACAAATTGTTCAGTTTTGTATAAATTTATTTATACATTTGTAATTTGTATAATAAGATCTATATTTATATAATTATAAGTGTATAGGACGAAAATATATGTATTTGTATTTGTATATACAATTTTCTCTTGCTTTATACAAAACACAAAACACATTTTATATCGAAATGTATAAAATGACTAATTGTATACCGAATCAGATAGCAAAAAAATGGTATGTTTGCTGTGAATTACAAATAAAACAAACTATAGCTATAACATTTAATTTGAATTAATAGTTTGCTATTTCATACAATTTTCCCTAAGTTTAACTATATATACAAAAAGTTTAACTAATTTGCAGCTAATGGCCCAAAACATCCCGGTCACTAATTTACATGTATATGCAATGTATCTATATTATATGAATAAAGTATAATATATATAACAAAATAATCGGAACATATATAAAAAATAATAATCAAACTTTAAGAGTGGAAAAGAGAAAAATAAGATTAGAGACCGAAGCTCGGACCTATTTTAATTATTAGTTAAATGAAAAAATAGCCATTTTTTGTAAATTAATGATAATTAAGCCATTTTTAATTAATAACATGACTAAGTAGTCATTCTATTTAATTTTCTAATTTACAATATGCTTCTTCAGCGGCCCACAATTATATTCTCTTTATTTTTGACCTTCAACAATTATGATCATTTTTATTAAACTTGTAGCAGGATTGTTTTCAACCATAGACAAAGCAACAACATAAAAAAAAGACTTTCTATAGCCACATAAATGTCATAACACGTTTATAATTATAAATTTCAAAAGACTTTCTATTGTTACACCGTTGTATCAAAGGTAACAAAATATATATTAAGTACGAGACATAAGATGAAAACTACATTTTCCTAAAAGTAAATGTTCAAAAAGCTACATATATAAACAAAATTTACATAACTAAAAGTACAAATGTAGAGTGTTCAATCTACCAATAGAATTGTCCTAGACGATAGTTGAACAAGCTGATTTATTTGGATCAAAAAGCCCAGGCAATAGATACTTCCTTCCGTTTGTACCATGTGCATTATAGCTTGCACCCGTTATCGAATCCACAAGCAGCTCACCCGCATAACCCGGATAAGCCTTTTTACCGTACAACCCGGCGCAAGCCGAAGCCGCCTCTAACGGGGATTCAGCCGGGCCTTGGTAGTAACCGTTCCCGTACGGGTTCGTTACTACTCCAGCCAAAAGACTCGCTATATTTACAACCATGCCATCTGCACCCACGTCACCGTTTGGTGCACCCAACGGCTTGGCCTGGGGCCCGTAAATAGGTTGGTGAAACGGCCACGCACATTGACCCGGACATTGAGTCGCTGAATTACCCACCCATATGAAAACGGATCTTTTTCCTTGACCCGACCCGTGATACCCGCAATTGCCCATGCAGAAGCCTTCAACTGCAACATCTTGGGCTGTTAGGACCAAAATTAATTCACCTTTTTTCGAGTGAGCCAATTCTGATATTTGGGATTTTTTTAGGGTTTTTCCAATTGAACAATTTTCGTCCGTGAATTGATTGGATAGAACTAAACGGGTCTCTTTTTTATCCGCTTTTGTCAAGTAGGTCTGAATAGTTTGCCACCATTTTGTAACAGTAGGTGTGTTGCGTGACCAAATTTTACTAGGAGAATTTAGAGATCGGAGAAAATCAACGATAATAGATTTTTGGGCAGGTGAAAATTTTCCGTACCAAAGAATGGATATTTTTATTTCACTTTCTAATAAATCGCCATTATGGTACGTAAGACTCATTGAAGGTGGTCGATATAGTGAAAACAAGTTTCTTGCTCCATAAGTAATATGGAGCAAGCTGAGGAAAACAAGAACAAGAAGTGGATAAGGGGTTTTGGAATAGTCAAAGGAACTCATATTTGAGAAATGTATATAGAGTAAATGAAGTTTTTTTCTTAAAAAAAAGTTGGATTATGAATTTGGATATAGGTATGGGGTGAAGTGATGAGGATATATATAGATGATGAGATGCATGAATATGTTTGTAAAGTAGGGGCTTCAATCTTCATATGTAGCTTTAATGAGCAAGAAAGATTATAAATTGGCTCTCACTGGGTGTATATAATAATTCAAAATTGGGATGCGACGCAATTTAAACTAATGACTCATTCATTTATTAATTCATTTCATTTTAATCGTTCAAATTCAATTCAATCCAACTCATTTGACACGTCTGAATGGCGGATATAGGAATCTAATCGGATAGATTACATGTTGCGAAGAGGATTTGGTAGTGTGTCAAGTGGGTAATGAGCATGTGTTCTAAGCTCTTCCCAAGAAAAGTCGACGTAATTTTTCAATTTCTTTAGTAGTATCTCAAAAAGATCAATGTTTTGAATAGAGATTTAACAGCTTAATTTAATTATTATTCCAAGAAGCTTTTGTTTTTAAATTATGTAGCTTGTGCATGCATGACGTTATGCAAGCAGTATTAAACAATTGTCCTAATTAAGAAACCTAAAATATGTACCATATACTCCCTCCGTTTCAAATTATAGTGATGTTTTTTATTTTCACATGCCCTTTAAAAAAACATTAATCATGAAAAATATTTGAGGATATAAGTTTGTAGTCTTCAAGGCATCAATTATGAAAAATTTTGAACTTTTAAAATGACAAATATTTTGAGATGATTATAATTTTTAAAAATTATAACAGATAATTTGAGTCTGGGGTATAATCTTTAGCTAATATAGAGCTACAATTTCTTAATGCACGACTTTATATTAAGGTTAGAAAGGGGCGGTGGACCTTGGAGTTGCTTATGGTGATGGGGATATGCGTCTCGAATCTTGATATAATTAGCTTTGGGAAACTTAAAATAACTAGTGAAGTTGGACGGATAAATACAACAATGAATTCTCGAAATATATGAGAACGATTCATTACTATTTTTGTGTATTAAAATAAGAATATCCTAATCAAGTCGTCGAGTGACATAAAACAACATATTCGGAATTGAGATCTCTCTGTTCAAGTTTACTTGTAGCATTTTGAGTTATGAGAGTCAATTTGGCTAATTTTTAAATCTAAATTGAATGAGATTAATTTACTATTAAAATTTAAAATTTAGCTAGTCGATAACTATACGAAAAATATTAGTATAAGTTAATAATTCTTCTCATATATTAATATAATGGCAAAAATATATCTTAAAATATTAATCAAAGTCTATACAATCACGTAAAAATGAAGAATGAGTATATAGAAGATTTAATTTATATCAAGCTTTTACTGGATAAATGGAAAAAGATTAACCCACCTTAACGTCAGACAATTTAGAAATTAGGAAGTTCTTGAAAATATATTAAATGAAAAACTTTCACTAACTAAAACAATCAAGTTAAATTAAGTATTTCGCCCTCCATTTTAATGTAAGTGATGTTTTGGACACATCCCTTGAGAAACTAATTGTTCATGGAAAATAAGAATTGTTTTTAGTAACTTACCCTAAAATTAATAAATACTTTTGAAAGAAATGTAACTCTTTAGTAGTTCTTTGGATATATAAAACCCTCTTCTTTATTTCAAATATGATAAAATTGGAAGAGCATTTCTCAATTATCTATAACACCGCTTATTTTAAAACAAAATAAAAAAAATCAAAATACCATTTATTTTGAAACAAAAAAAAATATTGCACAAAAAGAATCGTTTTGTTGGGGTAGTGGGGTTTTATGAAGCCGATTACATGTGTAAAATGTATGCTATGAGTGCATGCATGCAAAATTAACCTGGAATTGATTTTCTGATTCAATAAATCAAATATATTGTGTGAAATTTCAAATTTGAACTCATAAAGTTTAAATTATAGATTAACTAATTAATTACTACACATTTTTAAAAAAAAAAACAAATTAGTCCCTCCATCTCTTTTTACTTGTCAAATTTTAACTTGACGGCTATTAAGAAAATAATGATTGGTAATGGTATAGTACTGAGTATACCATTTTACCCTTACTAATTGATACTCCCTTTGTCCACTTTTAATTGTCATGTTGTACTTTTCGAAAGTCAATTTGACTAATTTTCAAAGTTAAATTAGATTACATTAATTTGATATTTCAAATAAAAGAATTTTGATATTAAAAAACTATACGAAAAGTACTATAAATTTCATTTTTTTTCATATCAATATGATGAAAAATACGTCGTAAAATGTAAGTCAAAGTCATTATCATTTGACTCTAAAAAAGGAAACTATGACAATTAAAAGTAAACGGAGATAGTAGTGTTTAAACATATTTAGAGCCCGTTTGGATTGGTTTAAAAAGAGTAGCTTCTAAGACAAAAATAAAAAGTCAAATTAAAATGACTTTTAAGTCAAAAAATAAAAAGTAGAGGAAGACCTACTTTTGGTTTTAACTTATTTAAATCATTTTAAACTTATTTTAAGTTATTTGTAACATTGTCATACACTTTCTAACTTATTTTAAGTCATTTTTGATTTATTTTAAATTATTTTTATATTTTTCAAACATTTTAAGAAGTCAAAAACTAACTTAAAAGTAAGTTTGATCAACTTTTAAGTCAATCCAAAAACCCTCTTACTCACTACATTTCTCAAAGACATTAACTCAATGTTAATAAAATAAGGGTATAATACCTTGATTTGTCAAAAATGAGAAGTAAAAAAAAAATCAAATTAGGAAATATTTGGCAAGTAAAAGTAATTTTTGTTGAAAATCCCGAAAATTGAAAAAGGTCTGTTTTCTGTTTCTAAGTTAGAATAGCTATGCAAATGCAGTGAATCTAAACATTATGGGCATTCCTGTACTTTGTGGGGAGAATAAATTAAATGAATTATGGGTCGTTGGCAAGGCCATACCACAACAAGTTTCGAAAATTATTGACAATGCATGCATGTACGGTCAACTAATATAGCATCGTGCTAGGTATATAATAAACGCGCAATTTATTTAATTATTTGCAGTAGTACTATTAGTGTAATTGAATTTGTGGTAGCATGTCAATTTAATCTCTCTTTACTATGTTAATATACATGCATTCACCCGTTCCTAGATTTTGTTTGCTGATGTCGAAAATTAATACATTGGGTGTGTTCGGTTCGAAGGAAAATGTTTTTTTAGGGATAAGAAGTCGATTTTTATTTATTTATTGTGTTTGGTACGCTAGGAAAAAATATTATCGTAAAAGTATTGTATCGATCTATAAAAAATATTATGGGAGGTGATGGTTGGGTTGTGGGACGGGGGCTACCGGGTGATGTGAGATGATGTGTGTTGGAGGATAGATAAGACACAATCAATGCATAATGTCATTTTTAGGGCTTGTTTCGCTATTTCCATTAAGGAGTCATGTTTATTATATTTAAGCAACTTGTTTTTTTCTACAAATATTTATTTTCAATTTTTTAATGAATTAATTGATCATACATTTTTTCATACGTCGCCTCACCGGAGGAGCTCCTTTCTATTTTGCTCCCTTAATAACTTGAACTCATGATAACCTTAGAATTGAAAGTGAAAAATGTTTATCATCTGAGCAACTCCATGATCTTATCTACCCAGTATCTTTAGTCTCCATGCATGTATATGTTGAATATTTGAGATGACTAATCAACTTGTTCGGTTCTTATTAATTCTTTTTCAACATTTAATTTCAATCAAGATCCTTGCATGTAGTCAAATTTTTGGATAGGATCATAACTAATTAACTATTATCTTCAATTCTTGAACGACCTATAGCCTCTACTCGAACTGCCATTGATTGAAGTATACAAAAAAGAAAAAAAATAAAAGAAATAGAAAATAGAAGAATTTATACGTCAATTTCATGTACAACCAATAATTGCATTTTGCAATAAATTTATATGTAACACGTATAACTAAGGCAGATGCTTACCTACCTTTAGGGATTTACTAAAACTCAGTATATATTGATTTAGATAGTGATATTTTTGACACTTTTGATTCTTGGATCTGCCTCAAAATTAAAGGTTGAAGTAAGACTCCTATATAATTATTAAATTTTATTTATTTTGTATAAGTAAAATAATACTATATTAAGAAGCCCACTCGTGTACTAAATGTACATAAATCGATGTATAAGCCATTTATTATCCACGTTATGTTTACTAATTGTAAAGGAAACCAGACAGCTTTGATTTGTATACCAACACATAAAAACACTCTTTAGACACTCACTGTGGTTTCTTCGAACTAGAGATTATTATTAGAATTTATTGAACATAATCATTTGTTTTTTCCCATTGTTTATTTGGTTCAAAACCTTTGATCTAATTTATATGGTACTTTTTGTTTCTCAAAAATCCATGTGGTTAATCTTTGAATATAATTTTTTTTAGATTAACTCCTTAATTTAAAACTAAATGTTAATAAGTTGTAATTATTCTTATGTCAATATGATAAGATAATATATAATAAAATATTGATGGAAATCTATATAATTTATATTAAAATAGGTGCGATATGTTTTTGTAGCCATAGAAATTTCGCACTCACTCCATCTCAGTTTAATTGTGTTAGTTTTATTGAGCATGAACTTCTAAAATTAAATTAGGAGAGACTTTTGAATTTTCTCATTTTAAACTTGTCATATAAGATGTTGGATTTAAAAAATTTACTAAATGTAGGAAAATGAATTCGTTTTGAAATAAATTTTAAAAAATAAGACATTTAAATTAAGACGGAGAAAATAACATGTTCAAATACACCACCAATTTCACTATCTTTTTTTTAATTAAAAAATAATAGGATTCATGTTCACTTAATTAATAATGCTACACAAGTTGAAACAATTGAAGTAATACGTACCCAAATATCTCGTAGACGAAAAGGTTTAACTACTTTCTAGACATGACCCAAAGCAATAGCCAATTAGAGGGAAAATGTGTTAACTGGCTGGG